GTGATGGGTCAACTGAACTTTGGACATGTCAGCGTCGGTCACATGAGCATCGCAGACATCTATCTGACCATTTTGGGGCAATCGGACGTCAGAAGCAAGCAAGTGCAGACTCCTTATAAACAGTGACAAGTTACTTTCAAAAATTCTTATAATATAAAAATCAGTGCACACGTAGAAATTATCGCGATGTTGGTTTCGACGCTGAAATGGCTCGGGCTCGGAAGTTCCGGCGCGCCGAGGTTGTCCAGCAGCGCTCAGTTGTTCTCGGCGCTCAGAAAAAAAAAAAAAAAGACAACCACGTCTAGAATATTCTAGCATATGCTTGACACTACAGAGAGAAAGGAGTTGAAATGCTTGATGAAATGCTGCATTCAAGTTTTAGAATGCCACTCCAGCGGTGCGACACTCGCCTTGAAAACGAGCGCAGTGCGATCGTGTTACCGCCGGCGAGAGTTATGGCCGACACGACGTCTACAGTTGGTTCCTCGTGTGTTCGGACTCGTTGTCCTCATTGCAGCGCAGTTTTTGGCTTCAAGAGATGTTGATTGTTTGTTTCTTTTCTTCTTCTTTTTTTTTTGCGTGGGCATGTAAAGATTAATTTTTTGAGTCAGTCGGTCAAGAAATTCCGAGTCCTCTTCCTTTCGAAGCCGAGGTATTCATGCACACGACGGCGTCTTGCTCCGCAACGAATAAGAACTCGTGTTCGAAATATCTTTGTCCATGTTTCGCGATTTGTTTGAAGAACATCATTTGAGTTCTGGAGATCTTCCGTGCTGTTTTCTTCTTGTTGTAATTATTATTATTAAAAATTTCCTTCGTTTGGTCCTCATCGCTCGAAGTCGTAGCGGTGGAACGAAATTACATATACGTCAGCATTTTTCGAAAAGAAATCGTTCCGTACCATTCGTCTGCGCCACTCACAATTTCCTTAAAATCACGTCATTTTTAATAAATTCATGAAATTTGAGACTCGCATCTATTGTGTTTCCGGGAAACTAAAACAATCTTACGCTAATTTTTTTTCGACGGTAGACAAGATCTTCCAAGATTTTAGTTCAAAGAGGGTAAATGCTATACTCTGAAAAATGATCTTGAATTCGGGCTGAAAAGTGTATTTCATGTCTTGAAGATGGGGATTATTGTTTCTCGCGAAGAAAACCTTTGAGCCAAATCTTCGGCAAACAATTTAAAAAAGTTAGACGATTTAGAGAAAAAGTACAGTACAGTATTTGTTTTTTTTAGCTATTTACTCGCAGAGTGGAATAAAAAGCATTTTTTATCGGCAAAAAATACCAAACTTATGATTCCGGTATAATAAATTAAAAATGTGTCTTTTTAAATTAAATTGCTATAGGGTGTATAAAATTTCTTCACCTTGATTCTGCACAAAAACAGAGTACAGTATTTTACATAGAGCTCCAATTATTCGAGTAACTGTCAAGTGGTTATCGGATAGCTGGAAAAAAGTGAACAGATTTCGCAAATTGCAAGACTTGCGAATTACTTGCGATAGATTTCTATATTCGGAGTCATTAATAAGATCGTCACCTCTTAAATCTCTAAGTTATACTATAATGACCTCACATATTCCATACTTTCACCGAAACAAAAGAACTTCGAGCAGACTATTAGCCTGTGCGAATATATCTCAGAACGCCACAATATTTGAAATTAAATGTAGCCAAACTCGGAGTGTTCATTTGATGATGTAACAATTTCGCGAGTAAATAAACACGACTTTGAAGATATATTCCGGAAACATGTAAATTCTTCCATCTCAATTTCTTCACAAAAGATTGGGCCAAAGGATATGAATTTTCACAACAAAAATAGCCAGCTGATGCTGAAAGTCAGTGATCATTCTCGGGTGAACGAGAAACAGAAGACACGAACGTCCATATACAGGTAGTTCTACTCGAAATTGTCAATGAGCACAAGTTGAAGTGTTCCGAAATGCCACCATCAGGAAACGGCTGCCAATATCAGACCAAACTAAGGTATATCAGCAATCTGTGGAGACAATCGAGACCCGTAAAATTCGCAATGCTCGGACCTCATAAACTCAAAATCCCGTCGTACATGAAGAAAGTTACGCTATATGTATATATATTTGGGCGGAAGTTGTCGTAAGACAAATAACATGGGTTCCATCAGAGACTCGCTTTGTTCTGTCTTGACGAGAGATAGTCAGATTTTATGGTGCTGACTTGGCTGCTGCTGCTGCTGCTGAGTTCCAGTCTGGAAAATTTTTACAACCCGTGGTCCCGCTGGTTAGCCTCCTTTTTTTTTCTTTTTCTTTCACGCGTTTGATTCATTCCGGAGCAACGGGGAAACAAATCTTGTCGCCTTTCCCTTCTCTTATATTATACACGGGAGACTATATGCAGCAAAAGCCATCGTGTCGAGAGGCTCCGGGTTCCGATTTTATCCGCTCATTTATCTCCCCATCACTCGAACGCTTGTCTTTCCCTTCCCCGAATCCCCGTCGCCGCGATGAAATATTTTATTTATTTCTTTCCTTCATTCATTTATTTATTTATTTTTGTACTACCTGCAAGCTGTCGTGTCAATTCTATCTCGAATTCTTCTGGTCCTCTGGGTTTTAAGGTCCAGTGGTGGTGACAGCGAAAAACACCGGGAGGGATTTAACGTAAGTGGAAAACCATGGCTGCGTGGACATTTATCACCGGGTCTTGGCAGCGGAAAACTGCTCAGACCACTTATACACGGGTTTGTGGGTGGTTCGCGAGATTTTTATGCTCATTTCTGCTTGGGACTCGACCACACTTCTAGACATGGAATACCAGACTAATAATTTCTTCCGCTAATCAGTTGTTCTTATAGAAGCTAACTAATTTGAAGCACGCCGGAAATCGGAGAAAAATATCAATATCTGAAGGTTGCGGTGATTTTTCAACCAATATTCCAACAAGTCCTCGCAGAACTTCGGACAGGAATGCTGCGATTTGGCCGTCACTGGAAACTTCGTGCAGTACTCATTATAAACTGAAAAATTGAAATCTCGCCACGATTCTTTAGCGAGACACCCTTCAAATGTGTAGGCGAAGAATATAGTCTTATTTAGCAAGCAACCTGAGAAATATTCAAGGACGTTCAAAATGTGGACAAACCTCAGAGTTCATTAAAAAAAAACTTGAAGCTGTATTCTGAAGCAGAAAGAACCTTGAGCTTTATGCTGAAGTATGAACACATGACAATATTCTCCAGTTCATTGAAATAAAAAAAATTCAAGTTTTCAAAGCGCAACCCTTGGTTTCTGACGGAATTAAAAAAGAACTAAAATTGAAGATCACGTACTTTTGAGTTACATAACATGTAGACCAAGACGGCGGGAATAACACAAAAGCCCAACTGGTTTTGAGACATTCTAGCTTTTAGATTCAGAAATATTCAGGGTGATCTGCTGTGAAATCGGGAGTGTTCCATGCTGAAGAGAATCTCCTCCTGATGGAAATGACGTCAAAAATCTCAAAGATTCCTGGCTTGCATTGATTAATTTCATCGTGATTTTTATTCTGTAAGTTTTAATGTACACAGAGCAACAGCCAAGTGGGAGATAACGAATTCTTCGAGAAAAACTTTTCAATTGGTGTTTAAAAAAATTTAAATTATTTTTAATCTTCATCAACATATTCTGAATAGCTCGAGCTTATTGCAACGAGCCTCGATTCAGATTGAATTTGCTGAAATGTTTTTCCTGATGATGCCCACGGATTTTTCTTTCATTGAAGTGACCTGCGCAGAAAGCCAAAATGTCCTTGAAGTTGCGAATGCACTTTATTACACGTCGTAAGGCATTTTTTTCATCAAACTTTCGTATTTTAATTTCCCCTTGCCATTGAATGCTTCACGCACAGCAAGACAAGTAGCAAAACTATTGTACTAAAATTTTTCAGTAGCTTGTGGTTATCTGAAATATGTTCTTGATTTTCCAGAAATCCGTTTCCCATGATGGTCTGAAGAAAAAGAAAAATCCAACTTGTAACAGAATAGTTTCCAGTCCTTGTTCAGCACGGCTTCTGTGCAACCAAATTCCGACGTCTTTTGATTAAATCAATTCATAAAACAAAGGATCAATATGAAAAACTTCCGTCACGCGACGGCGCTTATTTGAGAAATTTAAATTTGACACAAGTGGTTCATTACATTAAAAATTTTGACACACATATTCCCAAGCCGATTCGTGCGAAATGAAAAAAAAACAAAACAATATTGCTGTGTTGAATCAGAAAATATACTTTAAGGAGGCATGACACCATTGGTCCTCCACCAGCATCGCGTCCATGAGTTGAAAAACAGCATATTTTCGATGCTGTACTTCCAAGACTATTCAATTGTAAACATTACTTCCAAAACCAAAGAACAAAAATCTCCAGGGACCTACTCCATTTTAAATCGAAACTTTCCCTGCGCATGAGCAAGTGTATATTGACTTTAAAACCGGTAAGACATTTTTGCCGTAAACGCAGGTGATGCAGTGAATTACAATAAATGTTATTTAATTTACTTAAGCGTAAATTTTGGATTGAAAAAAGTTGTAAGAAGATTCGTTTCGCCGTTTCCTAAATATAGCAGGAAAAAATAGGGATATATACGTCAAGGTCAAACCTCTACTTGGAAAATATCCAGGGACTCCTCTTCTCCATCAGTTCAACATCAAAATCTAGAAAAGTCCTGGAGAAAACGCTCGCGCTTATTTATTTATTTTTAATGCTAAATAAATATAACGGTATAAGATCAAACTGAATCAGACACGGTCGATTCGGAGAAAACATGCCGCCATAATGGTAGGGGCTTAAACGTTTAGCTCCTTTAGCGCACAAAGTGCATCGAGTATGAAACCTACAGTATAGTGTTTCGCTGTATAAAAAAAAAGCCTGGATGTCCTATGTGCAAGGACCAAAATCGTCCCTGTGCTGATTGTTGGTGAGTGTGTGGGGCACACTGCAGCTTTGCCTCATTTGGGCATGTTCTTTTAAATGCGCAGCGTCGGGCTCTTGGAAGACCTGCCAGCAGTGGCCGAAGAGATAAAACGAGGGTTGCTCAAAGAATACTTTGAAGAATTCAACTATCTGAAGAATTCAACTACAGCGAGGAAGCCCAGAATTGCTGGGTTGCTGCTTGTCTTTACGTCATCTCCGCAGTTTTCTCAATTTGGCAATTTTTGGCAAATCAGCGGCTGGCCGAACGGATTGAGCAATGGCAGCAGGTGATTTTTAAATTTTGATTAACGTGACTGAGTGCATTTAATTTTACTCTTTTGAAGCTCATTGAAAACCACATGAAAATCAACAAAAGTAGCCTGGCGTCCTTGGAGCATTCAAACTACTGAACGTAATTATCTGCGCACTAAATTCTAATCTGCATTTACGGAATGAGACTCTCTTGAAAGTCCAAAATTCACGGGGAATCTTGCTACAAGTTAATGCCAAAAAAATTTGAAAATTCCAAGCACTTCAACAACACATATTAATCGAGCATGCGATGAAAATTTTGCCGCAGAAGAAAACCCAACAAAAACATTTAACAATATGCAAATCCAATTACAGCAGTTCTTTTTAGAATCACGTACCCTTCTTAATTTGGAGAAGCTTTTGAACCCAGACTCTCATCTAAATTGCTCTTATAAAATTGATTCGTGGAATTACACCAATTTAAGCCAATTGACTGAAGTAATTAATTTCCTGTCGTCATTTAGTTTTCGAACCATATTTTGCAGCCATCAAATAGAAGGGCAACCATGATGAGACTGATTTAAATTACGCTAATTGTATTTCACCTGCTCCACAACTCAATAAATATTTAATCACTTTCTCTCAGAATGGGAAAACAGACCCAAATTCAAAATACGCAATTTCAATATCAATTTAGAATCGATAATCAACTCCCTATAATTTAAAATCTATATATTCTCATTTTGTTAAACCGGACTTTTGTTTTATTTAATAAACTAAATATTGAGGTGAGCAGTACAAATAACAGGAACATAGAGGTAAAATATGCCAAACATTTAATGTCAGCTCGCAAAAATCATTTTTCAGAAATAAATTAACGAGCGGTGAATGTGAAGTATTTCATTGGGAAAAAATTTCAGATATTCCGATTTTCTCGAATTTCACTGTCTAGTTCTATAAAGTTTACGACGAATCAATAATTGAATCAGTTATAAAAAGACCGGACCGGCTGAAGATTAGTGCATGACGCTTTTGAAACAAAAGAATAAAACCTTGGAATTTACCGATTTCCGAAGTGCCCTTGTCAATTTTTATTAGAACACGCTGCATTTGAGAAAATGATGAAAATATTTTGGAATTTTTCCTGTTATGTCGAAATGACTTTTCCGATTATGCAAGCGCCACAGATTGATTAATAACAATGTGATTAGAAATTAAAAGACAGGTTCATTATTTAAAAAATAAGAAAAACACCGAGACGGTTGATTCCAAACATGTGAATAGAAAACTATTCCGGAAATTTCCATATTTTTCTTGTGACATGAATTTTTCTCCGCAGGCAAAAAAAACCCAATGTTTGAAGAAATAAACTTATTTCAAGAGACCTTTGAATGGAATGTCTCTCCGGAAGCTGAACGAAAAGGTTAAAGAAGAAGGGTAACAGAAAGCCTGCAAAATTACTCAATATTATTTTTTATTGAGCATGCTAATATTAAAAAAAAAAATGACTGACCTGGATTTGATTATCNAACAACACATATTAATCGAGCATGCGATGAAAATTTTGCCGCAGAAGAAAACCCAACAAAAACATTTAACAATATGCAAATCCAATTACAGCAGTTCTTTTTAGAATCACGTACCCTTCTTAATTTGGAGAAGCTTTTGAACCCAGACTCTCATCTAAATTGCTCTTATAAAATTGATTCGTGGAATTACACCAATTTAAGCCAATTGACTGAAGTAATTAATTTCCTGTCGTCATTTAGTTTTCGAACCATATTTTGCAGCCATCAAATAGAAGGGCAACCATGATGAGACTGATTTAAATTACGCTAATTGTATTTCACCTGCTCCACAACTCAATATTATAAATTAGTGAAAGAGAGTCTTACCCTTTTGTCTGGGTTTAAGTTTTATGCGTTAAAGTTATAGTTAAATCTTAGCTATTAGTTGAGGGATATTAAATTTTAGATATATAAGAGTAAAACAATTGCCAGACTTGTGTTTTATTTAATAAACTAAATATTGAGGTGAGCAGTACAAATAACAGGAACATAGAGGTAAAATATGCCAAACATTTAATGTCAGCTCGCAAAAATCATTTTTCAGAAATAAATTAACGAGCAGTGAATGTGAAGTATTTTATTGGAAAAAAATTTCAGATATTCCGATTTTCTCGAATTTCACTGTCTAGTTCTATAAACTTTACGACGAATCAATAATTGAATCAGTTATAAAAAGACCGGACCGGTTGAAGATTAGTGCATGACGCTTTTGAAACAAAAGAATAAAACCTTGGAATTTACCGATTTCCGAAGTGCCCTTGTCAATTTTTATTCGAACACGCTGCATTTGAGAAAATGATGAAAATATTTTGGAATTTTTCCTGTTATGTCGAAATGAATTTTCCGATTATGCAAGCGCCACAGATTGATTAATAACAATGTGATTAGAAATTAAAAGACAGGTTCAGAATTTAAAAAATAAGGAAAACACCGAGTCGGTTGATTCCAAACATGTGAATAGAAAACTATTCCGGAAATTTCCACCTTTTTATTGTGACAGGAATTTTTCTCCGCAGGAAAACAAAACCCAATGTTTGAAAAAGTAAACTTTTAAGAGACCTTTGAATTGAATGACTGTCCGGAAGCTGAACGAAAAGGTTAAGGAAGAAGGGCAACAGAAAGCCTGCAAAATTACTCATTATTATTTTTTATTGAGCATGCTAATATTAAAAAAAAATGACTGACCTGGATTTGATTATCCAGGGCCCAGGTGTTGACGGAAGCCAGTTCGGGCTTTACGGCAATCAGCGTCGTGTCAGGGACAATCTGGTCGCCATCCATGGACCAGGCGACGTCGCAAGTGACGTCGACGACGTCGCTGTCGTCCCTCGACTCCAACGGCTTGGACACAGTCCGCACGGCACGTGTTGGCATCAAACGCGCCCATCAATCGACACTCGGCCTCCTTCCGAATCCAGCTTCTCCTCTTTTCTCTTTTACAACAACACCAACGCCGACGGCAGAAGTTCTGGATGATCCTCGCTTCAATTTAATGTCCCTGTTTTTTTTCGTAGCACGTCAATAATATCCACAATTTGAAAGTTTGTTTTAAACCTTCTTTTTTCATCTGTTGGCGGACTGGCGGAGGACACGTGCTTCACAAACGTACATCAATCAATGAGCGAGCATTCCGAGGTGCCGCAAGAGGCCCTGGAAATAATTTCCCCAAATAAAAGTCGATCACGATTTGACAACGACATTTTTGCGCAGTTTTCTGCCCAAATTGGGAAAAATTCTCTGCCGGACCATTGAAGCAATATCTGCACGTTTTCCGGATGATAGGTACTGTAACACCTAAAAGTTCTATAAATAAGGGTTCAACCCCAATTAAGGACGTCGAATTTCGCATTTAATTCAAAATTTTCAACGAACACACTCTGTCAGACTCTTTTGTCGATAGTTTGATGCTTCGCAGGTCATTTTGAATAATATCGTCACTTGATTCTCGCTCGTCTTAAAAATCTACTTACCATATTAATCATTAGCACCTGGATTTACACTGAGGAAATTTTGTTCTACCATTATTTTTAACTGCTAAAGGGCCGCTATTATTAGTTGTACGCTTACCACTCGACATTGAAAAGCACTGCACTAAAATCTTTCAAAAATCTTAATAACGTGATCTTTGAGATGTTCAATACAGTACTTCAATGCTGAATAGTTTTATTTTATTTATTCCAACAACGGATTTTAAATAATAAAGACTAGGCTGAGATTATTACGAAAAATCCAAATTATTTCTTGACGACTTCATTGGACAATGTAAAACTCCCGAAATGAATAAAAGTGATAGGAACGATTTATAACATTCCAAAATGGCGTGAGACCAGAATAGCGAGTGTCCAAAAAACAGGAAAATAATAAGGACCTCTCTTCAGAAAATTTAACGATGTGTCAAGCACAAAAAAAACTCGTAAGCAAAATAGTTTCTCACCGTGAGGCATAATTGCCAATTGATGCTCTTAAAATGTATTAAAACACGAACATGTGACGTGTACGTAATTTAGATATATTTTTTGTTGAACATTTGAAATAAATTTGACATACTGTACTTTCAAATCTAGCATATTTTTTCCCTTGCACGCGTCCTTTTGTTTACACGCTATGAAAGGGGACGTATTTACATGTTTCTGTTTTTTTTAAATTTTAAAGAACCCGTCGAAAAGAAAACCGTTTCGCACCTTCAATCGTGACACAATTCGAAATGCAGCCCTGAAAAATAGTCGANAATATTTAATCACTTTCTCTCAGAATGGGAAAACAGACCCAAATTCAAAATACGCAATTTCAATATCAATTTAGAATCGATAATCAACTCCCTATAATTTAAAATCTATATATTCTCATTTTGTTAAACCGGACTTTTGTTTTATTTAATAAACTAAATATTGAGGTGAGCAGTACAAATAACAGGAACATAGAGGTAAAATATGCCAAACATTTAATGTCAGCTCGCAAAAATCATTTTTCAGAAATAAATTAACGAGCGGTGAATGTGAAGTATTTCATTGGGAAAAAATTTCAGATATTCCGATTTTCTCGAATTTCACTGTCTAGTTCTATAAAGTTTACGACGAATCAATAATTGAATCAGTTATAAAAAGACCGGACCGGCTGAAGATTAGTGCATGACGCTTTTGAAACAAAAGAATAAAACCTTGGAATTTACCGATTTCCGAAGTGCCCTTGTCAATTTTTATTAGAACACGCTGCATTTGAGAAAATGATGAAAATATTTTGGAATTTTTCCTGTTATGTCGAAATGACTTTTCCGATTATGCAAGCGCCACAGATTGATTAATAACAATGTGATTAGAAATTAAAAGACAGGTTCATTATTTAAAAAATAAGAAAAACACCGAGACGGTTGATTCCAAACATGTGAATAGAAAACTATTCCGGAAATTTCCATATTTTTCTTGTGACATGAATTTTTCTCCGCAGGCAAAAAAAACCCAATGTTTGAAGAAATAAACTTATTTCAAGAGACCTTTGAATGGAATGTCTCTCCGGAAGCTGAACGAAAAGGTTAAAGAAGAAGGGTAACAGAAAGCCTGCAAAATTACTCAATATTATTTTTTATTGAGCATGCTAATATTAAAAAAAAAAATGACTGACCTGGATTTGATTATCCAGGGCCCAGGTGTTGACGGAAGCCAGTTCGGGCTTTACGGCAATCAGCGTCGTGTCAGGGACAATCTGGTCGCCATCCATGGACCAGGCGACGTCGCAAGTGACGTCGACGACGTCGCTGTCGTCCCTCGACTCCAACGGCTTGGACACAGTCCGCACGGCACGTGTTGGCATCAAACGCGCCCATCAATCGACACTCGGCCTCCTTCCGAATCCAGCTTCTCCTCTTTTCTCTTTTACAACAACACCAACGCCGACGGCAGAAGTTCTGGATGATCCTCGCTTCAATTTAATGTCCCTGTTTTTTTTCGTAGCACGTCAATAATATCCACAATTTGAAAGTTTGTTTTAAACCTTCTTTTTTCATCTGTTGGCGGACTGGCGGAGGACACGTGCTTCACAAACGTACATCAATCAATGAGCGAGCATTCCGAGGTGCCGCAAGAGGCCCTGGAAATAATTTCCCCAAATAAAAGTCGATCACGATTTGACAACGACATTTTTGCGCAGTTTTCTGCCCAAATTGGGAAAAATTCTCTGCCGGACCATTGAAGCAATATCTGCACGTTTTCCGGATGATAGGTACTGTAACACCTAAAAGTTCTATAAATAAGGGTTCAACCCCAATTAAGGACGTCGAATTTCGCATTTAATTCAAAATTTTCAACGAACACACTCTGTCAGACTCTTTTGTCGATAGTTTGATGCTTCGCAGGTCATTTTGAATAATATCGTCACTTGATTCTCGCTCGTCTTAAAAATCTACTTACCATATTAATCATTAGCACCTGGATTTACACTGAGGAAATTTTGTTCTACCATTATTTTTAACTGCTAAAGGGCCGCTATTATTAGTTGTACGCTTACCACTCGACATTGAAAAGCACTGCACTAAAATCTTTCAAAAATCTTAATAACGTGATCTTTGAGATGTTCAATACAGTACTTCAATGCTGAATAGTTTTATTTTATTTATTCCAACAACGGATTTTAAATAATAAAGACTAGGCTGAGATTATTACGAAAAATCCAAATTATTTCTTGACGACTTCATTGGACAATGTAAAACTCCCGAAATGAATAAAAGTGATAGGAACGATTTATAACATTCCAAAATGGCGTGAGACCAGAATAGCGAGTGTCCAAAAAACAGGAAAATAATAAGGACCTCTCTTCAGAAAATTTAACGATGTGTCAAGCACAAAAAAAACTCGTAAGCAAAATAGTTTCTCACCGTGAGGCATAATTGCCAATTGATGCTCTTAAAATGTATTAAAACACGAACATGTGACGTGTACGTAATTTAGATATATTTTTTGTTGAACATTTGAAATAAATTTGACATACTGTACTTTCAAATCTAGCATATTTTTTCCCTTGCACGCGTCCTTTTGTTTACACGCTATGAAAGGGGACGTATTTACATGTTTCTGTTTTTTTTAAATTTTAAAGAACCCGTCGAAAAGAAAACCGTTTCGCACCTTCAATCGTGACACAATTCGAAATGCAGCCCTGAAAAATAGTCGACGCTGAGTACAGTTCTCAAATCAGCCCAAAAACTAATAATATACCGTAACAACAACAAAAAAAGTCAAGATTTGACACCACTCTTGAGAGTTGGAAGTAAATATTGATCGCAAACAGCGTATGCGCACCGCATTCTATTTCATCTTTCATGAGTCACGATCGAGCTCGTGAAATTCCACCTAGTAGGTGGTGAATCGATTTTCTATAGAGATTATCATCGAGGAACCGATATTCGAGAATAGTGTCATTGAAATAGATGTTTCAATCAACGAACGGACGTGGTAGTGGATGACGGGATCCAGTCGCGCTGTCGCGTGTTATACGAGCCCAGGTGACAGGGTATCTGACCGAAACGCGAACATTGTCTGATCGGGCTGACACAGTTTAAACTGGTCTTGTTTCTTTCCCGTGTTTGATTCTCAGATATGAATGAGTTCCCACTTTGAGTGTTTTTTTTTAATAGTCTTTTCTATATGTAAAAAATTCCGCAGAGACGTGATGAAGTGGCCAGTAACCTGATGATCCACGGACACCTCCAAAAAATAAAGAAAACGGTATAATTTTCAAGACCTGTTCCGATCCTTAAATCTGGTTAGAATTGTACGGTATAATCTTTCGGGAATAATAATGTCGGAAAGCTATTCTCAAGAGTTGAGTCCGATGTGATCTTCAACTGTCAAAGATGACAGCATAGAACAATTTTAAAAATTCATACTTTAGTCTTGGATTTAACAGCTGTTTGAAATTTGAAGACATCGGACTGAGGATTTCACACGCGCTTTCTGCGGTTACAACTTCGGTAACACCTTTTCGCCGTTGTTTTGCAATTTGTGGTTTTTTTTTCAGAATTTAGGGGGGAAATGCACGAAAATAAAATGTAAAAATTATTTCCCAGCCCGTAAGACTTCAGCTGCAGACCGTAAATCATTCATCAAGTCATAAATCATGCATGCCTTTTCATTGACACTCAGCTCTTGTATTCCTCAATGAAACTCGTACAAAACTTTGATTTTTTCTTTTAAATTTGACTTACCCAATGAATACAGTAATTGCTTCAGGTGAAAGAGTGGAATTGCTTTTCAAACAGCAAGGTCAACGAATTTTTTTAGATTCACGAGAACTCAATACTGTAGTAAAGAATGTTGGGCGACAATTTGATCGAGCTATAAAGATGATAATTATTCAACAGCAGGACAAGGAAATGAGGAAAAAGTGTAAAACGATTGGAATACTTCTTTAAAGAAAGGAGAAAAAAATCCACGGGAGACCGGAATGAATCAGCATGACGCTGGGAATGAACGCGTCAGGTTAAAAAATGTTTCCGCAATTTTTTTTAGAATGTGTTACATTCTGTCTTTCAATATGCCGGAAGATTTGAAATTCAGATTTTGTTCAGGTTCTCGAGCTCAATTAGCAGCAAGTTCCACAATCCAAATTTCGAAACGTTATTCTGGGCCTAAAGGATTCGAAAACNGATCACGATTTGACAACGACATTTTTGCGCAGTTTTCTGCCCAAATTGGGAAAAATTCTCTGCCGGACCATTGAAGCAATATCTGCACGTTTTCCGGATGATAGGTACTGTAACACCTAAAAGTTCTTTAAATAAGGGTTCAACCTCAATCAAGGACGTAGCATTTCGCATTTAATTCAAAAATTTCAACGAACAAACACCGTCAGACTCTTGCAGCTTTCGATTCATTGCGTCCTCCAATGTCCATAATTTTCTTCTTCGCAGATCATTTTGAATAATATCGTTACTTGATTCTCGCTCGTCTTAAAAACCTACTTACCATATAAATGATTAGCACCTGGATTTACACTGAGGAAATTTTGTTCTACCATTATTATTAACTGCTAAAGGGCCGCTATTTTAGTTGTATGCTTACCACATGACATTGAAAAGCGCTGCACTAAGATCTTTCAAAAATCTTACCGACAGCTTTGCGAAGTTCAATGCGGTATAGTTTTTATTTATTTATTCCTACAACGGGTTTTAAATAAGAAAGCCCAGGGTGAGATTATTGCAAAAAATCCAAATTATTCATTGACGACTTCATTGGGAAATGAAAAACTCCCGAAATGAATAAGAGTGATGGGAAAAATTGAAAACATTCCAAAACGGGGTGAGACCAGAATAGCAAGTTTCCGAAAACCAGGAAATTTAAAAGTACCCCTTCAGAATATTTAAAGATGCATCAAGTACAAAACAACTCTTGAGAAAAATAGTTCCTCGCCGTGAGACATAATTGCCAATATTAGATTTTCTTAAAATGTATGAAAACACAAACATATGACGTGAACGTAATTTCGATAGCTTTTTAGTTGAACATTTGAAATAAGTTTGAAATACTTTTTAATCTAGTACACACGTCTTTTTGTTTACACGCCTTGAAAGGGGACGTATCAAATTCACACATTTCTGGAATTAATTTCCGAAGAACCAGTCGAAAAGAAAACTGTTTTGTACCTTCAATCGTGACAAAATTCGAAATGCAGCCCTGAAAACTAGTCGACGCTGAGTACAGTTCTCAAATCAGCCCAAAAACTAATAATATATCGTAACAACAACAAAATTATTCAAGATTTGAGATCAGTCTTAAGAGTTGGAAGTAAATATTGATCGCAAACAGCGTATGCGCATTCCGCATTCTATTTCATCTTTCATGAGTCACGATCGAGCTCGTGAAATTCCACCTAGTAGGTGGTGAATCGATTTTCTATAGAGATTATCATCGAGGAACCGATATTCGAGAATAGTGTCATTGAAATAGATGTTTCAATCAACGAACGGACGTGGTAGTGGATGACGGGATCCAGTCGCGCTGTCGCGTGTTATACGAGCCCAGGTGACAGGGTATCTGACCGAAACGCGAACATTGTCTGATCGGGCTGACACAGTTTAAACTGGTCTTGTTTCTTTCCCGTGTTTGATTCTCAGATATGAATGAGTTCCCACTTTGAGTGTTTTTTTTTAATAGTCTTTTCTATATGTAAAAAATTCCGCAGAGACGTGATGAAGTGGCCAGTAACCTGATGATCCACGGACACCTCCAAAAAATAAAGAAAACGGTATAATTTTCAAGACCTGTTCCGATCCTTAAATCTGGTTAGAATTGTACGGTATAATCTTTCGGGAATAATAATGTCGGAAAGCTATTCTCAAGAGTTGAGTCCGATGTGATCTTCAACTGTCAAAGATGACAGCATAGAACAATTTTAAAAATTCATACTTTAGTCTTGGATTTAACAGCTGTTTGAAATTTGAAGACATCGGACTGAGGATTTCACACGCGCTTTCTGCGGTTACAACTTCGGTAACACCTTTTCGCCGTTGTTTTGCAATTTGTGGTTTTTTTTTCAGAATTTAGGGGGGAAATGCACGAAAATAAAATGTAAAAATTATTTCCCAGCCCGTAAGACTTCAGCTGCAGACCGTAAATCATTCATCAAGTCATAAATCATGCATGCCTTTTCATTGACACTCAGCTCTTGTATTCCTCAATGAAACTCGTACAAAACTTTGATTTTTTCTTTTAAATTTGACTTACCCAATGAATACAGTAATTGCTTCAGGTGAAAGAGTGGAATTGCTTTTCAAACAGCAAGGTCAACGAATTTTTTTAGATTCACGAGAACTCAATACTGTAGTAAAGAATGTTGGGCGACAATTTGATCGAGCTATAAAGATGATAATTATTCAACAGCAGGACAAGGAAATGAGGAAAAAGTGTAAAACGATTGGAATACTTCTTTAAAGAAAGGAGAAAAAAATCCACGGGAGACCGGAATGAATCAGCATGACGCTGGGAATGAACGCGTCAGGTTAAAAAATGTTTCCGCAATTTTTTTTAGAATGTGTTANAAAAGTGTAAAACGATTGGAATACTTCTTTAAAGAAAGGAGAAAAAAATCCACGGGAGACCGGAATGAATCAGCATGACGCTGGGAATGAACGCGTCAGGTTAAAAAATGTTTCCGCAATTTTTTTTAGAATGTGTTACATTCTGTCTTTCAATATGCCGGAAGATTTGAAATTCAGATTTTGTTCAGGTTCTCGAGCTCAATTAGCAGCAAGTTCCACAATCCAAATTTCGAAACGTTATTCTGGGCCTAAAGGATTCGAAAACTTTCATCAGAAAAAATTGGGTTCTTCATCCCATTACCCAACACTGACCACTCACTTAGTTGGAATTTGATCGAATTTGGTGAGGTTTTCGAGCTGAATGTTCAGCAATTTTCAGAGTCCAAATATCAAAACGTTATTCTGGGCATGAATTAAGAATGGAATCGAAAAAGCGCATCAGAAAAAAGAAATTGAATTCTTCATCCCAGTACTCAACCCTGAGTTCCCGGACCATTCACGTCATCGGGATTCATTTGGACTTCATATACGCATGTCATGTTTCCCGAAATTAGAAGTAAGAACTTTTTTTCTCAGAGATTTTAAATTCTGATATTGGTGAGGCTCTCGAGCTCAACGTATCATTGCGACTTTAGTTAGTTGCTCAATCCAAATTTTGAAAGTGCTATTCGGCCTGATTCAGAATGGAATCCAAAAAAACAAATACAAGGAATAAATTTGATTCTTCATCTCATCACTCAACCCTGACCATTCACGTCTTCGGGGATCAATTGGACTCCGTATATGCATATCAAGTTTCCCGACATGAAAAAGTAAGAATAAATTATTTTTCCAGAGATTTGGAATTCATAGATATTGGGGACGTTCTCGAGCTCAATGTATCTAGCGACTTCAGCGAGTTACTGAATCCAAATTTCGAAAACGTTATTCTGGGCCTGATTCAGAATGAATGCGAAAAAAAAGTCATCAGGAAAAATTGGGTTCTCCATCCCAGCAGTCCCCAACAACACTGACCACTCACGTCATCGGGATTCCATTGAATCTCTTACGCAGGTACACAATATGTTCCCCGATTTGAGGAGGTAAAAAAAAAAAAATTAAAAAATGAATATTTCCAGAAACGAACATCCGGAAACATGATTCACTGAAACTGTTGACTGTGTTGACACTGAGGCGCGCGAGAAAACGAGTCTGAACGCGCAAAAGCAACAACTTCCCATCAGAACCCCCAGCAGCGCGTGGCGGGAATACAAAAAACTCGTCGCTCGCGGCGAATTATTCTGATCACTGCTCGGAAAATTGTTCTCGCCTCCTTTTCCCCTTCTTCTTCTTCTTCTTCTCATCTCTCTATTTTTATTATGATTATTATTTGAATGAATGGAAATCAGCCACGGGTACATAGAAAAAAAAACAAAACTATTTTTTTTTCTCCTCCTGACTATCGCTCCTCATCCTTCATTCGCTCGTTGTCCACTCGGTGCGGAGGCTGACGAGCGACTCCGCGCACGCGCGCGCGCTTTCCGGACTCCTGCCTGAATCCGGTCGATGTCGACGAAGGAATTGTCCAGCATGTGAAAATAAAAGAAAATTATGCGTTTATACAGGTATGAAAAAAAAAGGTGAGGAATTATCGGCCAGGTTCATCATGCCCTGTAATTGTCTCGGCCTCAAAGCCCCGAATCGATCTTGTTCCACAATTTGAGGCGACCTTCTGGAAAACATCCCCCCCCCCCCCGCAGCAACTTTTTCTTCTCCGCGCTGATGTATATATCTTTTTCGTGCAAAATTTTTGCAAGATCAATCGGTGAAATGAATCTTTGTAACAGTGCTTTCGGAAAGTTGAAGCGTCAGTTGGCTATATTGAGATTTCGATGATCGAATTGGAGGAAAAGATCCTCGAGAGGGAAAGTGATGAGTTTGAGCAAAGACATACTTTTTACAGCGACTTCTTCAGCTATTTGTTTTTTGAGGCCAAAGGGGGCTTGAATCAGTAATGAGCTGACCAAATATCATGAGGACCATATAGAAACCAAATGAAATTACGTGCATATTCGGTTCATCTTATTCAAGAAGATTGCAAAAATGTTCTTCGTTAGTTTTTTTCAGATCAGCAGCACCGCAGGACGAAAAAAATGCATAGTTTCCAAGCTCTTAAATTACAAATTAAAAAAATTTTCAGGTTTTTTTAAAAAACACGGTTTGATTTTTTGTATATTATTTATGCATCACGTGATATTTTAAAGCAAAAAATATCCAAGAAATTGTTTTCGCCTTTTAGTCAAGAACTCAATAATCGTAAATTAATTATTGCTTGTCAGGTCATCTTAGTTTTGTCATGGGAAATGGGGTCTGTTGATCAGCAACGTATGCCAGGTGATGGTATTTCGCTTATTCCCACTCGTGATTTTTGTTGATCCAGCCACACACAATTTTGTGACTGATTTGACATATTGTGCTACATGGGATCAGATAGGAAAGTAGCGTGCAATTCTAAAAACAAATACGATGGATTTTAATGTATTTTCTCCCAACAAAGCATGAAAATTTCAGATAGGATTGAAGTGTGGCACATGTCAGATTGCAAAATTTATTTTTCGTGTGTGTTTCATCGCTTGAAGGTTCACGTGATTGTTCAGGTAGCTTGTTCAATGCATGATTTCAATTTTGAAGAGCTGCCATCTAGCAGAAGCCTGTTTCTTGCTGAGATAATTCGTGATACTGCATATATCATGAAATGTGACATACAGTAGGTAGAGTAATGCTTGCACTATAGGTCATACCAATGTTTCCTCTTCAGCAAACTAACTTGATGGGTAAATACCTCTGAGTTTTTTTTTCACGTTTGGCATCGTTAAACAAATTTCCAGGCATTTGTTCCAACACAAAGTTTCTCTAAATAAATTTTCTTGCTCTGCTGAGAAGAGAATCCTCCGACAGTTTCAGCTGCAATAAGCGTAAATAATTCGCTCGATGTCCTTGGATTATGTTCGTTTTGTTCTTTTCCGGAATTACAGCTATAGTGCGAAGCATCAGTCGAGATCCAATTTCCACAGACACGTTATCCATTGAATCATCGTCCCTGTCTCGAGCACAAAAAATTTCGATCGAGATGAAATTGTCGGGTAGAAAAGAAAACTGAAGCTCGAACGCTCGATACAGTGACTGAAAAGTTCTCAGCAGCCAACTAACTGCAACAGCAGGACAGAGGTTCGAAGCGCTGCCTTGCGGGCATCCCGTGGCCATGAATGAAACTCCTCATATTTATAGTTATTATTCCATTCCCGACTCCGTTGCAAACTGATGGGTTGCTGTGTGAGGTGACCTTTCGCTTTGAAGCTTTTATGAGCTTATGGTCCATTCGACCCAGAATGACGCATTTCATTTGAATGGCCGTAAAATTTTCCCAAGGACAATTACGGTACTTGATTACTTCATTCTCCGCCGCGAAACGAAAGTGACGTTATTCAGATTTTCCTCAGGCTTCAGAAAGAAATCGAATTGAGCTTTTTATTTTTTAAACCTGCAGGCACTTGATGAGAGCCGCAAATATATGTGTCTGGTCATTGGAACAAGTTTTTAGAAGAACATTTTTCAACAGTCCGGATAATATTCTCATGAAATTTACAAATAATGCTTGCAGAGGTATGGGAGAATAATTCGTCGAATTTAGCGCTGCGTTTATTCATCGCTCGATCCGAAATATTGAAAACTTTGATCTACTTCTCAAAATCCTTATCGCATAAAAATTAGAATATTTTCCCGTTACTGTATACCACAAATACCAAATACGAGGAATAAGCATCAACAAATGAATTAAAAAAATTACCTTAGTTGGTTCGATATCAAAACCTACTTTGTTGATTCCGAATCCCGATGCAACCTTTCTATGACTTCCATGTATTTCTGAGACTTCGCACTTCAATACTCAAGAGGGATATTTTTCCCAATACATGGCTGTTTATTTTAATTTCTGTTGTACCTGCCTCTTCTTTTGAGAATTTACTTTCTGACGTGAACCCTGCTTTTTAATGCCAGTTTTGCAGAAAANTTTGAATGGCCGTAAAATTTTCCCAAGGACAATTACGGTACTTGATTACTTCATTCTCCGCCGCGAAACGAAAGTGACGTTATTCAGATTTTCCTCAGGCTTCAGAAAGAAATCGAATTGAGCTTTTATTTTTTAAACCTGCAGGCACTTGATGAGAGACGCAAATATATGTGTCTGGTCATTGGAACAAGTTTTTAGAAGTACATTTTTTAACAGTTCGGATAATATTCTCATGAAATTCACAAATAATGCTTGCAGAGGTATGGGAGAATAATTGTCGAATTTAGCGCTGCGTTTATTCATCGCTCGATCCGAAACATTGAAAACTTTGATCTACTTCTCAAAATCCTTATCGCATAAAAAGTTAGAATATTTTCCCGTTACTGTATACCACAAATACCAAATACGAGGAATAAGCATCAACAAATGAATTAAAAAAATTACCTTAGTTGGTTCGATATAAAAACCTACTTTGTTGATTCCGATTCCCGATGCAACCTTTCTATATGACTTCCATGCATTTCTGAGACTTCGCACTTCAATACTCAAGAGGGATCTTTTGTCCATACATGACTGTTTATTTTAATTTCTGTTGTACCTACCTCTTCTTTTGAGGTTTAACTTTCTGACGTGAACATTGCTTTTTAATGCCATTTTTTGCAGGTTTGGAGTTTTAACGACAGTGTCTCTAAGAGGACACAGAAATTATGGTGTTTAGCTCTCGCCACAGAGTTTTACAAGTTAGGTCTATGCCAGCTTTGTTAAAGGCCCCTTTGTAATGAGTTGTTTTATCTCGAGAAGCGTTCTCTTCACCGGGAGAGAAATTGTTTTGTTAATTGATTCAAAAACCCGCGCCGCTTATCATTACTGTATTTATTATTTTGTTCATCAGTGTGAAACTCAAGCGGGAAGTTACGAGCTGCGTTAGGTTCTCGGTTGAAATTCGTGGCTTGTTTTTTTATTTTTATTCTTGTTAAATTAAACGCCGCTCTCAAGTAGCTTCTTACTTATTCCCCCCTACACTACTTCTCTCAGTGCTAATTTAGAGCGAGGAACTTGGTTCGCCCCTACTAACTTTGAAGGCCTCTACTTAGTCTTGTCGAGCGAGTATCGCCTCCTACGCAAGGTGCATACGATTATTTTTTCCCCGTGGCGCAGGTTTCGCCAGCCTCGCGGTCACGGGTTCGGTGTTCCAGTTGCTACTATTCACTCCAGAGGAAGGACTTTTTTCAGCAACAACAAAATTTTTGGCAGAATCGTGGAAAATTCGAGTCATGACGGAGTTTCTGGATAACCAGTGTACAGTATTCTATACTGTATTATTTACTTGATCGCCGCGCACCCATAAATAATGAGATTCACACCAGAGTCTTTCAGGCAAAAACTTCGATAAAAACTTATCTCTGAGTCAAACTCCAATCCAAAATATCTGTAGCAACTGAAAAATGACCATATTTTTGAAAATAAGACTCACTAAATTATAATTTTGACTCGAATTGAAACTGAATTAAAATTATATTCAACCATTTCCATTTTTAAAACTTTTTTCTTAAATTGGTTCAAAATTTTCACCAGAATCACATAAGCACCTACATTTCTTGGAGTTTTAACAATTCTGATACACGTGCTCATGACGCATACCCTCCTTTTTTCCTATTCTAGAAAAAAGGTGCACATAGCACCTGAGTAAATATAGTATACAGTCGGACCTCCCAAAGTCAGATTTCTTCTAGGTTAAAAAATGCCCAATACAGTAATTCAACTTTGCCATTAAACACCTATATATTCCAGAAAACCAAGAAAACAATATTCAAACTACTGTAAAACATTTCCTCATAATGCTTTTCTCATGCATTAGACAGCATCCTACAGGTAGCTTTCCTTTATGAGGAAAAATCATGATGACAATTGTCCTTGGCTATAATCTGCACAATAAATGAAGAAAATTTAATCGATGAACTATAT